CAGCATCATGCCCTTATAGCTATTTGACTGAGAATGGAAGATGCGGAAAACCATTCTAGGAAAAACAATGCCAGATTATGTGTTATCCCCAAATCTATTCTTAACTCTGATCTATATTCTACAGTCTTGGAAATTCTGAATAAGGTAGTGGAGAGATCCTAGGATGAGCCTATTGAATTGGATAGGGTGCAAAGAGTTGCAGGACCCAGGAATCCCTCAGCTACCTGCCCTCGTGATGTACTGTGCAGAATGCACTGCTATCATATTAAGGAAGATATCTTACAAAGATCATGGCAAATGGGTCAAGTAGAACATAATCTCAGATCACTCTCCTATCCTATTTATCAAGGGCTACACTCGCTATACTGAGAAGATTGAAACCTCTCCTAGAACTGATTCAGGCACAGGAGACATTTTACAGCAGGGGACATCCATTTAGTGTCCGGGTAAGAAAAAAGGGAGTCCTGTTTTCAGCTGTTCTCCCTGGAGCTGCTGCCCCCTCTTTTTACTTTCCTGGGTACTGAGCCAATCCCTGTGCCAAACTGGCTGTACTCTCTTGAGGAGAATGAAATGCAACCAGGAAATATTGGTTTATCTAAGAAATGAAGAACTATCACAAACACTGAAATATGATTGATGGCCTCATGGCATATTAAAATTAAGAGCACCTAGGCATCATGCCTAGCCTTCTTACAAAAATTTTTTGTGAAAAGGAATGGGTCGGTCTCAAGGAGCTCGTGATTGAAGTCAATGTGTGGTACCGTGACTAGGTTGCCCACCCTGTGCAAAAAGTCCATCTGTGACTAATTCCTTGCTACTAAATATTTCCAGGGTCAACTGTTGTGGTAATTGATAACTAAAGTGTGGAAAGCAACTAGGAAGAACAACCAGCATCTCAGCCACAGAAACAGGGTAGGGCCACCTAATATGACAAAAGGCAGGGTCTGCACTTGCTTGAAGTGCAACAGTGCGCAAAAAGTCACAAACTGTTTGAAGTGTCAATAAGCTAAAAGACCTCCAAACTTTTGTGTGGCCCTTCATGATTAGCAAAAACAACAGTTGCGTTAGAGAGCTTCTTGGATAGGATTTCCAGGGTCGGTAGCTGCTTCCAAGCCTACATCAGCAAGTACAATGGACTCTAGCTGTGGCAGATCATGCAAGTACAATGGACTCTAGAGTGTCAGATGCAGTGATGTAGAAAGCACGCATGCCACTAGGACCTCTTAGAGCAGTGGAGACCGTGTTCTGTTGTGAGTTGACAAATCTTGCTTCTCTTGTCTGGCAATGCGATGAATTGTGTCCCTGGGTTTGGTCGGATGCCAGGAGAAATGATACTTGCTTGCCTGAATTGTGCCAAGTGTAAAAGTTTTTGGTGGAGGAGGAATTATGGTAGTGGGGGTGTGTTTTTCAGGGGTTTTTCATGGGGCTTGGCCCCTTAGTTAATTGAAGGGAACTCTTAAGTTATCAGCATAGCCAAGACAGTTTTGGACAATTTCACGTTTTCAAAACTTTGTGGAAACAATTTTGGGGATGGACCCTTCCCTGTGCAACATGACTGTGCACCAGTGCACTACAAAATAAGGTCCATTAAAGACATGGATGAGCAAGTTTGGGGTGGAGGAACTTGACTGACCTGCACCTCAACCCGATAGAACACCTTTGGATGTATTAGAGCTGAGGCTGTGAGCCAGGCCTTCTTGTACGAATCAGGGCCTTCTTTGTACCTCACAAATCAGTGCTGACCTCACAAATGTGCTCTGAAGTAATGATACAAACATTCATATAGACACTCTCCTAAACCTTGTGGACAGCCTTTCTTCCCAGAGGAGTTGAAGCTGTTATAGCTGACAAAGGTGTGGGTCAACTCAATATTGATCCCTCAACATGAAGATTTCGATGCCATTAACGTTCGATGTGCGTTGTAAAGGCAGGTATCCCAATTTACTTTGTGGCAAGGTATAGTGTGTGTGTGTATATATATATATATATTGTAATATATATTACTGAGACACACACACTATATTCTTATTCTTCTGGTAAGATTTGCTCTTACTGTTGCTTTGAATAAGCTGCATATAGACACTAGTAGGAGTAGGGTTATTGTGGCTCCATTTTTGAGGATCATATGTGTATGCGTGGGTTTTTTTTTGTCACTATTTTCATTTTGATTTTCAGGCCGACTGCATAAGTATACATATATATTTTGTAGTTTACAATTTGCACTGTTTTCTAAATTAATCAAATAACTGTATTTTATTAGAAGAAGGTTAGAGGTGTGCGGTGGGGTGGTTTTTTTTGTTGTTGTTTGGTTTTGATTGGTCAACACTTGTTTTGAAAAGTCATAGGCAATGCATTATAAGAAGGGTAGGTTGGTTACTATACTTTCCTGATGGGAGTTTATGAGTATTGGTATATTCACATGGCTACCTCAACCGAAATTATATGAGGTTTCTTTTTTTTGTTTGTTATTTAGTAAACTTAATTTGAAAGCCACATATATGACAATTTTGAGGTGTTTTTGGCCACAATATTGTACTGTATCGTACAGGGAATATGAGTGAATTTGGGTATATTGCACTAAGACGTTTTGGAGGAATTGAGGAGTATAAGTATATTTATTGAGTAATGGAATTCCCTTTTTTGTTTTTGGTGGTTTTTTTTGCACATTTATATCATTTTAATATATATGTGTTACATGCATTTGTGGTGCAATGTTGCATTTAAAATTTAATCTAACCGAATATTGTATTGCTTATCCAAGGGTTAGATAGTGTGGGTGGATGTTTATTAGTGGATTTTTGGCGTCTCTTTCTTATGTAATACTTATTAGATAGGAATATACTCTGGTTCAAAAAAATTAAAGGAACACGTTTTAATCAGAATTATAGTATTGAGTCATGAAACACCCTAGGATAGTGATTCTGTACAGGGTTAATGGAGCAGAGTGGGTCTGTTAATCTGTTTCACAATCTGCTTTGGTGTTAATGAAATTAACAACAGGTTCACTAAATGGGAAACAATGGGACACAACCGCATGTCACTAAAACAGGAATGTTTTATAGGTGGAGGCCACTGACACTTTTTTCCCTACTCAAACTTTTCGCTGACTGATTTTTCACTAATTTGCTTTTGGCTAGGGTCAGTGTCAAATCTATTGGTAGCATGAGGTTGATACCTAACGACCCCGCACAGAGGTTGCAATTGGCACCATAATGTGACGTTTTCACAGATGATAAGCAGTTCACCAGTGAGTACATGTTACAGACATGAAAGGGATCTGGAGAAGCCATAGAGAACATATGCTGCCTGTAACATAATTCAGCATGACCGTTTTGGGGGTGGACACCAGTGATGGTCTGGGGAGGCATATCCATGGAGGGATGCACAGACCTCTTCAGGCTAGACAATGGCACCCTGACTGCCATTTAGTTATTAGATGAAATCATTGGACATATTGTCAGACCCTATGCTGGTGCAGTTGGTCCTGGGTTCACCTCCTGGTACACGACAATGCCTGACCTCATGTGGCATTTCCTAGAGTTCCTGGAGGATGAAGGAATTTATACCATTGAATGTTCCCCACACTCGCCAAAAAGAATAAATCCAATAGAACACCTCTGGATATGATGTTTCAGTCCATCTGACACTGCAGGTTGCACCTCAGACTATGCAGGAGCTCAATGATGGCCTGGTCCAGATCTGGGAGGATATACTCCTGGACACCATTTGTTTGTCTCATTAGGAGCATGCCCCAAACCATTGTCAGGCATGCATACACGCACATGGGGGGCCATGCAAACTACTGAGTACCATTTTGAGTTGATGCAATGAAGTTTCAGCATAATGGACTAGCCTGCTGCATAATTTTTTCACTCTGATTTTTGGGGGTGTCTTTGAATTCAGTCCTCTGTAGGTTGATACTTTTCATTTCCATCAAACGATGGGGCATCCTTGTACATTCCTAACACATTACCCAGCCATATCAATATAGATATCCAGCATGGTATTTTTCCCCCATTTAGATCTGATGTGTTTTCTAAGTGTCCCTTTAATTTTTTTTTTGAGCAGTGTAGTTTTTATAATATTCCATATATAGGATGTTCATTATAGGGTTGCACTAGCAAATAAGATTGAGTTACTTTAACTGCTTGCCGACCAAGCCACTGTATAAAAATGGCCACCCAGGGAGGCACCCCTGTGCAAAATCACGTTTTAAAAGGTAATTTTTGCAAAACAGGTAGGGGGCGCGCGAGTGTTGCGCGCCCGCCCCCTACCCGCGCCGCTGATCGCGACTGCGTGGGTGTCAATCACCGGGTCCCAGCCGGTCATTACACGCCTGGTCCCGGCGATTACCGGCAATCACTGACAGGGAGCACACGGCTGCAGTGTTTTACACTGCAGCTCTGCTCCTGTCAGTTCCAAACACACTGATCCTGAGAGCAAGTTTTCAGCTCTCGGGATCAGTGTGTTCCTCTGCAGTACACACCCCCCTCCCACTAGTAAAACACTCCCCTCACACAGTTAAAACCCTTTGTTTGAATATAAAATGTTAACCCCTTCCTCTCCAGTGCCATTAATACAGTGTCAGTGTTTTTGTTTTCACTGATCACTGTATTGGTGTCACTGGGGATGTCAGTGACTCCAAGTCAGTTTCCCCCAGTGTCAAAATTTCCGCCGCAGTCCTGCAGTCCTGCCATAAGTCGCTGATCACTGTCATAAATCACTGATCACCACCATAAGTCGCTGATCACCGCCATTATTATAAAAAAAAATCCCAGTATCTTTCCCGCCATTTGTAGACGCTATAACTTTCACGTAAACCAATTAACCACCTTCCGCCCGCCATATAGTACAATGACGGGCGCAAGGTGGTTCTGTCATTCTGATAGGACGTCATATGACGTCCTTCCATTTTCACCGCACATGCGCGGCTCAGGGAGCGTGCAGCGTGGCCGTCGCCGGTGCGCTGTGTCCCTCGGACACAGCGGATCATGGAAAGAGCCAAAGATGTTGGCTCGGTCATGGGATCAGCTGTGTCCAATCACAGCTGATCACATGTAAACATGGAAATGCCGGTTATCAGCATTTCTCGCCTCTTGAACTGTCACGCTGACAGCTCGAGAGGAGAGCTGGTAATCGGCTTTTCGCGGAGGGGACATGTACACTGATCATCAGGGCACTGATGATCAGTGTGCCCTGATGATCAGTGTGGCCCCAAAAGTGCCACCTATCAGTGTCCATCAGTGCCAGCAGTCAGTGCTCATCAGTGCCACATGCCAGTGCGCATCAATGCCACATATCAGTGCATACCAGTGCACATCAATGCCACATATCAGTGCCCATCTGAGCTGCCTTTCAAGGTCACCCATCAGTGCCAGTCAATGCCACCTATCAATGCCAATCAGTGCAGCCTAACAGTGCCAGTCAGTGCCGCCTATCAGTGCTAGTCAGTGCTGCCTATCAGTGCCACCTATCAGTGCCATATATCAGTGTCATGTATCAATGCTGCCTTTCAGTGCCCATCAGTGATGCCTGTCAATGCCCATCAGTGCAACATAACAGTGCCATCTCATCAGTGCCCATCAGTGCCACCTATCAATGTCCATCAGTGCAGCCTATCAGTGCCCATCACTGCAGCCTCATTAGCGCACATCAGTGAAGGAGAAAAATCATTTATTTACAAAACTGTATAATAAAAACTAAGAAAAAAAATTTTTTTTTTTCAGAATTTTCAGTGGTTTTTGGTTTGTTTAAGAAAAAATTAAAATCCCAGAGGTGATTAAATACCACCAAAAGAAAGTTCTGCCTGTCTCAAAAAAATGATAAAAATTTCATATGGGTACAGTGTTGCATGACCGCGCAATTGTCATTCAAAGTGTGACAGCGCTGAAAGCTGAAAATTGGCCTGGCAGGAAGGGGGTGAAAGTGCCCTGTAGGCTAGTGGTTAATTTACATGTATTGGGTTTTTTTATTAGCAAAGACATGTTGCAGAATGCATTTTGGCCGAAATTTATGACAACATTTAATTTTAAAATTTTTTTACTGGACATGTTTTATAGCAAAAAGTCTAAAATATTGTTTTTTTTCTCAAAATTGTCAGCCTTTTTTTTATAGCACAAAAAATAAAAAAATGCAAAGGCGATCAAATATCACCGAAAGAAAGCTCAATTCATGGGAAAAAAGGACGTACATTTAATTTGGGTGCAGTATTGCATGATTGGGCAATTGTCAGTTAAAGTAACGCAGCGCCGTAACACAAACCGCTTCTGTAACGGCTTCCTGACTGCCCTATAGCAGAAATACTGCTACAGGGCAGCACAGGTGCGCAAAATCACATATATATATATATATATATATACATACACATGGTTTTCACGCTCCTCCCTGATGGCGTCAGATTGCCCGTCAGTACACCAGTCATCACATTTAACCCCTTGACTGCCAGGAACACACTCATGCACAATAAACATCCATTGCTAGTATAGTGTCTGAACGGATCAATATCTTTGATCAGATCAGCACTATACCAGTGTTCACATAAGTATAGCATCCCCAAAAATGCAGCGTTAGCGGGATCAGCCCCTGCACCTGCCAGAACATGCATTTAACCCCCTTTGCTTACCCCCCCTTCTCCCCCAGCAAGTGCAGTGTCAGTAGGTCACTGTCACTTGATACATTGCACCCAAAATCGCAGTGTTCGCAGAATCAGGCCTGATCTCTGTTAGCACTTGTCGGTAAATTTTGAGGACTCTCATATGCAGCAGAGTGGCAGTACTAGTGCCGCGATACCTTTTGGTGAATTGCCGTGCACCAGCGGTCTAGTACATCATGGTCTTTCACATACAGTGGGGATCGAAAGTTTGGGCACCCCAGCTAAAAATTTGTAATAATGTGCATAAAGAAGCCAAAGAAAGATGGAAAAATCTCCAAAAGGCATCAAATTACAGATTAGACATTCTTATAATATGTCAACAAAAGTTAGATTTTATTTCCATCTTTTACACTTTCAAAATAACAGAAAACAAAAAAATGGCGTCTGCAAAAGTTTGGGCACCCTGCAGAGTTAATATCTTGTACTGCCCCCTTTGGCAAGTATCACAGCTTGTAAACGCTTTTTGTAGCCAGTCAAGAGTCTTTCAATTCTTGTTTGAGGTATCTTTGCCCATTCTTCCTTACAAGAGTCTTCCAGTTCTTTGAGATTTCTGGGCTGTCTGTCACGCACAGCTCTTTTAAGGTCTATCCATAGATTTTCAATTATGTTGAGGTCAGGAGATTGTGAAGGCCATGGCAAAACCTTCAGTTTACGCCTCTTGATGTAATCCCCCGTGGATTTCGAGGTGTGTTTAGGATCATTATCCATTTGTAGAAGCCATCCATCAACTTCAGCTTTTTCACAGATGGCATCAAGTTACCATCCAAAATTTGCTGAAATTTTATTAAATCTATTTTTCCTTCTACTCGTGAGATGTTCCCTGTGCCACTGGGTGCAACACAACCCCAAAGCATGATTGATCCAACCCCATGCTTAACAGTTGGACAGAGGTTCTTTTCATTAAATTCTGTGCCCCTTCTTCTCCAAACGTACCTTTGCTCATTCCGGTCAAAAAGTTCAATTTTAACCTCATCGGTCCACAGAACTTGTTTCCAAAATGCATCAGTCTTGTCTATATGTTCATTTGCAAAGTTCAAACGATGATTTTTGTGGTGAGGACGTAGAAGAGGTTTTCTTCTGATGACTTTTCCATGAAGACCATATTTGTACAAGTATCTCTTTATAGTGGAATAGTGTACCACAACTCCAGTGTCTGCCAGATCTTTCTGGAGGGATCGTGCAGTCAAACATTTCTTAATTACATTCCGAACAGAGGATATTGACATCTGAAAACGCTTTGCTATCTTCTTATAGCCTTCTCCAGCTTTGTGAGTGTCAACTATTTTCAGTTTCAGTTTTCTAGACAACTGCTTAGAAGAACCCTTGGTGCTGATTGTTGGGGCAAGGTCAGATGAGTCTGGGCATTTAAAACCTTTGAGATTGACATCACCTGGTCTTCCCAGATGATGATTGAGAACAATCCATGACACTGGCAGGTCTCAGCTTGGCAAAGGGGGCAGTGCATGCTATAAATTCTGCAGGGTGCCTAAACTTTTGCAGACAACATTTTTTTGTTTTCTGTTATTTTGAAAGTTTAAATGATGGAAATAAAATCTAACTTTTGTTGACATATTATAAGAATGTCTAATCTGTAATTTGATGCCTTTTGGAGATTTTTCCATCTTTCCTTGGCTTCTTTATGCACATTAATACAAATTTTTAGCTGGGGTGCCCAAACTTTCGATCCCCACTGTATCTCTTAGATTGTAAGCTCCCAGGATCAGGGCCCGCCTAACCCTCTTGTATTGTTGTTGCTGTATTGTCTCCCTTTATACTGTAAAGCGCTGAGCAAACTGTTGGCGCCATATAAGTCCTGTATAATAATAATACCAGTACTGCAGTATGACTTGTTGATGTGGCGAGTCCCATAAGTCCAGTACAAGCAAGTGCGGTGGCGAGCACAAGTATTGTACCGCAGCCACCAAGAATTTGCACACAGGCCCATAGAGCTCCTAGTATCCTTCTGGATGTGCTTGCAAATCCCGATTGACAGCCCACAAATTCTGCAGCACCTGTACTTCCCCCACTCACTGCCCAATTCAGAATTCAGGTGGAAATAGCAAATGTAACTACTCCCCTTGATTTTTGGAGCTGTTTTTCATGGAATATCTGTATGCGTTGATTGTGGATCAAAGCAATTTATATGCACAACAATTTATCGCCACCAACCCAAATTCAAACCTTGCCAGACCAGTCGCATGGAAACTCATTACGGTTTCCGAATTTACATTTTTTGGGGCCTAACCCTCAACATGGGCATTACTAAAAAAATGAATTGTGGTTGTATTGGTCCACAGACCCAATTCATCATATGCCGTGTTCTCTACTGCCATGGCCAGGCATAGATATGAGAGTATAATGTGCTTTATGCATTTCAACGACAATACACTCTTTCATTCTCTGGGCAACCCTGAATTTGATTGGCTCCACAAAATTCAGCTCCTTGCAAATCACCTTAACCAAAATTTTGCATATGTCTATACTCCCCAGCAAAAAATCTGCGTTGATGAGTCCCTCATTAATTTTTCTGGCCACCTTGCATTCAAACAATTTCTCCCCATCAAGCGTGCCAGATATGGGGTCAAGATGTAGAAGACCTGTGAGAGGACAACAGACTATACTTATAAGTTTCGGATTTTCACGAGGGAAAAGATAGTCACGTGGAGCCCCCCGGATGCCCAAACTACATGGGGAGTAGTGACAAGATAGTTTGGGACTTGGTGTCATCCCTTTTCCATATGGGGTACCACTTATACGTGGACAATTTTTATTCAAGCGTGCCACTATTTAGACATTTGTTCAATCTTGGAACTGGCGCATGTGGCAAAGTGTGAGCTAATGTGTGCCCACCATTAGAAGTGGGTGGATGCAGGGCGGTATATTCTAATGGTGGGCATACCACACACTTTTTCTGGCAGAGATTTCTTCTGCATACATAGCATATATACCCAACAAAGATCAGCGATGTACTGGTACATCACTGGACTTTGAATGGTTATACCAGGATGATGCCTACAGCTGCAGGCATCATCCTGGTATAATTTTTTTTTTCAGCTGGTGATCGGCTTTCATATAAAAGCAATCCTAGTGGCTAATTAGCTGCAAGATTGCTTTTACAAGCAACGGGAGATGATGCCCCCGCTTCCCTCTTCCATCCATGGCCTTCTCGGGCAGTCCTGCACCATCGGGGGAACCTGAGAATGCAGCCGGTGTTTCTGACAGCTGACCATAGAGCTGATTGGAGACCAGAATGGTGCCAATCATCTCTATAGCCTAAGAAATCAGAAGCTACAAGCATTTCATCACTTCAGTTTCGCAGGATATAAATTGTAAATTGGGAAAGCATGTGATCACACCGATTTTGGTTTGATTAGATAATGTAAGGGAAGAGGAGATATCTAGAGTATGATAGACCCCGGATTTCTGAAAAAAGAATATATGTCCATTGAAGTTATAGGGGATTTTTGCATTACCTGTGATAGCATTAAAAGTGATCAAAAAAAAGAAAGAAAGGTACAGTGTAAAAATAATTAAAAAAAAACAAAATAATAATCAAAAAAAAAACTTGCCCCTTCCATGCTCGCACAAGCCTTGACCCTGTGTCGGTATGTAAACAGCGGTTGTGCCATACATGTGAGGTATCACCGTGACAGTCAGATCAAGGGCAGTAATTCTAACACTAGACCTCCTCTGTAAATCTAAAATGGTAACTTTTAAAGTCTTTTAAAGCATTGCCTATGGATACTAAAAATATATGCAGTTTGTCGCCATTGCACAGGGCATGCACAGTTTTAAAGCATGTCATGTTTGGT